CACAATGTTTGTGTAATCTCCAGGACTCTTCATCTTGCAAAACAGATGATACCTCTTAAAATCTAAAATAATGTAAGTAAATTTAGCTGCATGTATCAGAGGCCCAAATTAAATGTGGCTTAAATATGATAGAAGTTTCTTTTTCTGTCATATAAAGTCCAGAGGCATGGTGTCTCTACAGTCATCAATAGGCTTTTTCTAGTTTTCTGCTTATCTTTAAAACTGTGGCTTTCAACTTCATGATACAGGATGGAATTCGGTCATCCTAACCACATTTCAAGCAGCTCAAGTAGGAAGGAGTAAGAAGGGGCACATCTCTCTTTAAGGACACTCTGGAATTACACACATCACTTTTTCTTCCATCCTCTTGGCCAGAACTTAGTGACCTGACTTTATCTAGCTGCCAAGAGAAGTAAAGTCATCTTACCATACAGCCAGATACTAGCTAAAAGTTGGGAGTTCTGTTACTCTTCTATAGAGCTGAATCAGATCTTTTTAATTTTTGAAGTTGGGAACTATACTCCAGTTGAACCAGCAGGGGTCAATGTTGAGCAAGTACTTTGTTTCTTTGTTAAACCTACCTGCCATTACATTTCTCACTATATAATTTATAGAAAAGCAATTACAGTTTTATACAAAGCAACTATAAATGCTAATGTATGACAAAACACATCACTTAGATTTTTAAAAACCTGAATATTTAAGAATGTTCTATCCCTAGATAAATGCTATGCAGTTTCTGTCTGTCTGTTCAGGGGATGGTGTTCTCTCATGAAACAATTAATAGAGAACAATCTAGTTGCTCTCTTGTTCTTCCCATGACTACATCCTTGTAACTGTTTGTGAATAGATTATAAAAAATACACAATGATATATTCCTGTGTTAATATGAAACCAGATTACCTAAGAATGTCATGTGTTTGAACAGTCACTTCCTCTACAACAGTTATATCTAAAATCTTTTCACAAATTTGTTGTAATTCATTATATCTTAGATCTAATTGGGTTTTTTTTTTTTTTTTAGATCTAATTGGTTTTGACAGCTTTTATATTTTGGATAAGAAAACCAAAGTTTGGATTCAGCTGAAACAGTAAAATACCTAAAACGTATATTGAAATGTTTATTTTACCAGCAATACCATGAACTGGATCAGGAGCCATATGGGTTTCCTAGAAAACATTTAAAATTATTGTGTCTACCTCTAGGAGTATTTTCTAACTTCCATTGTTATGTCACTTCAAATAATGAAATATTCTGATTATTTTATAGAACTGTAATTCTCTTTTTACCTTTTTTTTTTTTTTTTTGAGTAGGCCCCGCACCCAGAATGGAGCCCAGCATAGGACTTGATCTTATGACCCTGAGATCAAGACCTGAGCTGAAATCCGAAGTCAGATGTTTAACCAGCTGAGCCACCCAGGCACCCCTAGATCAAATCCTGAGATTTGCAGTCTGCTTCATCTGGTCCATTGGTTCTCAAACTTCAGGAAGCATTGGTGTCACCTGAAGGACTTCTTAAACTACAGATTGCCCTTCTTTCTTTCCACCTCCTCACCCCATTTTTTATATTAATGGGTCTGGGGTACAGCCCAAGAATTTGCACTTCTGGTAAAGTCCCACTTGATGCTGATGCTGCTGGTCAGATGACCACAGGTTTTGAACCATGGATCTTTTTCTTTCTTGGAACGTTGGAGTAGACTGTATATGTCCACAAGGGAGAGGAGGAATATGTAAATCTGGACAGATGTCCTATAAGCCTGGAGTTTTCTGGGTCCTCTGAGGACACTGTTTTTCCCCTCACTTACTTTCATGCTTCCACAGATACAATACCACTTGTCTTTTTTTTTTTCTTAGTTCTTTTTTTTTTTTTTAAGATTTATTCATTTGAGAGAGTGAGAGTGTGTGTGCATATGCACAGTGAGGGAGGGGCAAACAAGCTAACCCCCGAGGGCCCCCGTGCTGGGTTTGATCCCTAGGACCTGGGAATCGTGACCTGAGCTGAAACCATTCAGTTTATATAGACTGATGCAAGAAAAGAAGTTAGTTGTTGGATGTGATTTTTGTTCCTTTTTATATCTAGAGTTTGGAAGTCATGTGAATTACATTTGGCGGGTTTATATTTTTTAACAGTTTAATTATTATGTGTATTCAAGTGAGCAAAGTGCCCTATGAGGCGAGATGTGTAGCATTTAATAAATGTGCTTTGAGTGTACAAGATAAAGAGTGTAGCATTTCTGGGGCACCTGGGTGCCTCATTGGGTTAAGCCTCTGCCTTCGGCTCAGGTCATGATCTCAGGGTCTTGGGATCGAGTCCCGCATCAGGGTCTCTGCTCTGTGGGGAGCTTGCTTCCCTTTCTCTCTCTCTGCCTGCCTCTCTGCCTACTTGTGATCTCTGTCACTCTGTCAAATAAATAAATAAAAGCTTTAAAAAAAAAGAGCTTAGCATTTCTAATATATAAATCATTGTCCTTTTGTGAAATTGAGTTGGGCAGAGTCTAGTAGATTGGGTGTTGAGTGAGTTTATTTTGTACTTAAAAATTTTTTTCCCAAAGATCTTAAGCTTAAGATACATGTTGTGTGCTATCTAACTCTGAAAAGTCTCCCAGGTCTCTTTTTGATACTTTAGTTTTCTTTGTAAGACATTGTTATTTATGTCATCAACCTTTGATTATTCAGCTTTTTTTTTTTTTAAGTATTCAGGTTTTTTTTTTTTTAAAGGTAGGTCATCACCTTTTTTTTTTTTTAAAGATTTTATTCATCCATCTGACAGACAGAGATCACAAGTAGGCAGAGAGAGAGGAGGAAGCAGGCCCCCCGCCAAGCAGAGAGCCCGACGCGGGGCTCGATCCTAGGACCCTGGGACCACGACCCGAGCCGAAGGCAGAGGCCCAACCCACCGAGCCACCCAGGCGCCCAAGTATTCAGCTTTTTAAATGGGTTATAATTCCCCCCTGTGTTCTATTCTCTAAGTGTACCCAGAGAGGAGTGATCATGGTGTAGCATCTTAGAAACTATCATTTGAGAAGAACTTAAACTTGTTTAGAAGGAAATATGATAGCTTCATTTTGAAGGAGGATATGATTTTTTCATAGCTTCCACTAATGGTTAGAAATTATAGGAAAGCAGATTATTCTTTAATGTCATATAATTTCCTAAAACATGTCACTGTCAGTCAACAGCATTACTTTTATTATAAGATTTTCTTTTGCACTGAAACTTGATAGAGTCCAGCTTTCCATCGCCAAATCCTTTTTGCTGCTTCAAATATCCTTCTTTTCTCCATTTTGTTTTGTTTTTTTAATTTTCACCAGCCTTGGAGATCTCATCTTTTCTTGAACTATAATTTCAATGTATTCTTAGCTTATGTCCTTACTACCAGTCCAGAGTTTAATTTCTTTAGGTTTCTCTTCTCTTCTCTACAGGATTATTTCATATTTCTAGCCTGGTATGCAGGTTTCCTTCATGACCAAACCCCACTATTCACAGTTCAGTGTACTAAGTTCCTACTATGTGTCGGGTCCTGTGCTCAGTCCTGGAAATATGTTGGCAGATATGAAAGTCATGGTCCCTTCTCTCATAGAGCTTTCCATGTAGCTGGAGGGTAGGTTGTTAATAGTTATTTTTTTAAAAGTCTATTGTAAATACTCTTTGAATGTCTGAGATTGAGGGGGAAGTACATTCTTTCCACTACTTTCCTATCCCTTTACTTTTTCTACTTTGAATCATGAAATGCTAAGGCTTTCATGTATGAGTCCATGCTTTTATACATCTTATCTTCCTCTTTTTTCCTTGTTAATTAGCTTTTGGCCTTCCTTTAAGATGTCAGGTGTGGGGAGACTTTGTTATTTCTTCCCTTGCTCTCATATTAGCTCTTGTCATTTATCTCTAATAATAAAGTACTTACTTTCTATGTTCATTGTAGAGCTAGAGCTCCTGAAATACAGAGATATCATCTCCTTTTCTTTGTATCTCTTTCCCTATAAGAGTGCCTGATTTGGGGCACCATTAAGCAGATGCTTAATGCCTGAGCCACCAGAGCCATCTGCGGCTCAGGTCATGATCCCAGGGTCCTGGAATCCCTCCTTGGCGGGAAGCCTGCATCTCCCTCTCCCACTCCCCCTGATTATGTTCTCTCTCTCTCTCTCTCTCTCTCTGTCAATTAATAATCTTTTAAAAAAAGAAAGAAAGTAGTTATCTTAAAAAAAAAAAAAAGAAAAAGAAAGAAGAAAAGAAAGATTGTCTAATTTGGGTGCCTGGTGGCTCAGTGGGTTAAGCCTCTGCCTTCGGCTCAGGTCATGATCTCAGGGTCTTAGATCAAGTCCCACGTCTGGGCTCTGCTCAGCAGGGAGCCTGCTCCCCACATCCCCCTGCCTACCTCTGCCTACTTGTGATCTCTCTCTGTAAATAAATAAATGAAATCTTTAAAAAAATAAATAATAGTACCCATTGTGGGTTATTTGGTTAATTTGTTAAATGATCACTTGCGTGCATCAAGGATGCATGTGGTGGTGGTCATGAAGCATTACCAGTTTTCTGCATGTTAAGTAAAATCAGAGTGTTCCCTATCCTAGGATGGTTTCCGAGCACCTCCTTGAACAAGTAAATATGACTTAGATTTGGAGAATCACATCTTAACTTTTAAATGGTCACTGTGCAGTGATGTGATTTTAAGCACATAAATCTTTTGCAATTCTGTTTCTTTACAAGAAAATGAAGATTGAGAATAGTATGAAGACTTAGTACATTAGTACATGAAAAATACTTAAAACAATACCTACTACCTAACGTCATCCTTCTGATTGCTGTTAATTTTTTCTAAAGAAAGGGAACAAATTAAATGTCTCAAAGATGTTTTTCAGCCCAAAGAGTCCCTAAAAATATTACTTTAGCTTATAATATCCCCTATACTTATTCACCTCTCTCTTTAGAGGACTGTCTCTAAACTTTGAGTTGAACGTAATAAAATGTTAAGTAACACTAAGTGATTTTGTTTTTGCAGATGTTCTCAAATAGTGATGAAGCTGTAATCAATAAAAAACTTCCCAAAGAACTCCTATTGCGGTAAGTCTGAATGCTAATTTTAATTTGGTGTGTTGTGTGTGTCATATTTGCCTATTTAAAAATTTTTAGACTTACTGCTAATTTTCCTTGATGTAAAGGAATTGGATTATCTGAATTTGTAAATTTATTGATTCTTTTATTAAACAGTCTTGACTCGGGACGCCTGGGTGGCTCAGTGGGTTAAGCCGCTGCCTTCGGCTCAGGTCATGATCTCGGGATCCTGAGATCGAGTCCCGCGTCGGGCTCTCTGCTCAGTGGGGAGCCTGCTTCCCTCTCTCTCTCTCTGCCTGCCTCTGTCTACTGTGATCTCTCTCTGTCAAATAAATAAAATAAAATCTTTAAAAAAAAAAAAAAAAAAAAAAAAAAACAGTCTTGACTCTACATTTTCTAGATATGAATCAAAAATTTTTTTTTAAGATTTTATTTATTTATTTGAGAGAGAGAGAGACAGTGACAGAGAGCATGAGCGAGGAGAAGATCAGAGAGAGAAGCAGACTCCCTGTGGAGCTGGGAGCCCGATGCGGGACTCGATCCCGGGAATCCAGGATCATGACCTGAGCCGAAGGCAGTCGTCCAACCAACTGAGCCACCCAGGCGTCCCTGAATCAAAATTTTAAATGTTTAAATTCTCCTACCTGATTTGTACCTATATATGATTTTGTTTACTAGTTTTCCCTTGCTTTACTTTTGTATATAATGTATATAAGAGATCATATATTTTATTTTATTATAATGCTGATTTTTTTTTTTAAGATTTTATTTATTATTTGCAGAGAGAGATACAGCGAGAGAGGGAACACAAGTAGGGGGAATGGGAGAGAAAGAGAAGCAGGCTTCCCGCTGAGCAGGGAGCCCGATGCAGGGCTGGATCCCAGGACCCTGGGATCATGACCTGAGCCAAAGGCAGACGCTTAATGACTGAGCCACCCAGGCACCCCAGATTTTTTTTTAAGTGATTCTAATCCATCCCTTTTCCTTGTTTCCTGTTCCCAACATCAGATATGTCCATGAAGTGACTTGTATTTGTGACAAAATATCACATATACTGAGGAACTGTAGAGAAGAGTTACAGCCTTTTACTTTAAAGTTAAAAAGGTAGGGACACATGACTGGCTCAGTTGGTGGAGCATGAGACTCTTGATGTTACAGTTGTAAGTCCAAGCCCCATATTGGGTGTACTTAAAAATAAAATCTTTTTTTTAAAAAGGGGGGGTAATACGGTAAAAGTTATTTGAAGCTTTTTCTTGTATTACAGTTATAATTTTATCCTCCTTATTTTTAACATGTAGAAATTACATTTGGGATCACCCACAACATAAAACACACAGCCCCCAATTTATATACATCTAACCTAAGAATTTCCTAGGAAAAAAACTACGGATGTCATTTTCAGTGCCCATTATTTGGGCTTTTTTTTTTTTTTTTTTTTAAGATTTTATTCATTTATCTGGGAGCAAGAGAGAGCACAAGTTGGGGGAGAGGCAGAGGGAGAAGCAGACTTCCTACAGAACATGGAGCCCATTGCGGGGCTCCATCCCAGGACCCCGAGATCATGACCAGAGTCAGATGCTTAACTGAGCTACCGAGGTGCCCTTATTTGGGCACTTAATCATGCTCTTCTTTGTTCACTGATGACTTAGAAAGAAAGGTACAGGAGTGCCTGGGTGGCTCAGTGGGTTAAGGCCTCTGCCTTCGGCTCTGGTCGGGCTCCTGGGATCCTGCTGTGCATCAGGTTCTCTGCTCGGCGGGGAGCCTGCATCCCCCCCTCTCTCTGCCTGCTTCTCTGCCTACTTGTGATCTCTGTCTGTCAAATAAATAAATAAAATCTTAAAAAAAAAAAAAAAGAAAGGTACATTTTCTTTTGCAAATGTTAGGAGTTAACAAGTTGTACTGAAGGGCATCTGCCTCTTAATCTTAGCTGCTACTGCCCCAGCCCATAACCAGCGCAGTCCCTGCTCAAGGTGGAAAGTAATTTCGTGCTAGTGCTGGTGACGAAGAGAATTTCTGGCATTTCTAGGGATTTGCACATCTAAGGCCTTCACTATATTGCAAGTACCTTGCAAGCAGGGACTGTTTTCTTATAAATCTTCATGTAATACCTTATACATTGGAGATACTAAGAAAAAATAACAGAATTGAACTTGGAATGGATTTTTTTTCATGGAAGCAATGCTTTTGTACATGCTGGTTTACTATAGTAGAAATAACAGCAATATACCCTAGGGTACCCAGGGCTATTGGAGAATGTATCCTGGATAAATTTTAGCCATCTTAAGGAGAAATATTTTTAAACAGGTTATGTTCTTAATGTTATTATAAACTGAGTACACTAAGACATACTTCAATTTTTTTATAATGGCATTAATTTGGACCACAATAGTTTACCTAAAGACTCAGTAGGATTCAGGGAAATTATTTGATTCTTTGGTATTTAGCTGCCTGCTATTATGGTTTACATTTTTATATTTTATTAGAGTTTTATTCCATGGAAGACAGACATAAAGGCCACATACCATGTAATTCCACTTGTATGAAATATCCAGGATAGACAGATCCATGGAGATAGAGGTTGCCAGGGGCTGTGTTGAGGGTTGATAGGGAGTGACTGCTAATGGGTATAGGGTTTCTTTGGGAGTGATGAAATATTCTGAAATTAGATAGTGACCATGGCTGCACAACATTGTGGTTATACTAAAAATCACTGAATAGTGTACTTTAAAAGGGTAAATTTCATGGAATGTGAATTCCCTCTAATATATATATTATTTTATATATTTTCAGTTTATAATAATTTATAATAAAATTTTCAATAATACACTTGTAATAAAATATGTAATTATATAATATGTTTTTATTTATTATATGATTTAAAATAAAAAATGCAGGGGCACCTGGGTGGCTCAGTTGGTTAAACATTTGACTTCAGCTCAGGTGGCGATCCCAGTGTCCTGAGATTGAATTCTGCATTGGGCTCCATTCTCAGCAGGGAGTCTTCTTTTCCCTCTGCCCCTCCCCAACTCACTCTCTCTCTCTTTTAAATAAATAAAGCCTTCAAAAAAAAATTCAGCCCCATGATAAACAAATACAGTCTATAGCTTTATTTTATGTTGTATATGTTCACTGATTCTTCAGCCGTATCCCAATCTTGGTGATTTATTGTAGCAAAGGTTTTGTGGATATTTTCTTTGATGCTGGTATCTCTTCCTTTAGATTCAGTCCCAAAGACAGCATGAAGGGTAGACTAATAGGTGACTTCTTAAGTGGGCGATTTGTAGTCTTCTGTCTGTTAAGAGTGACCCCACTTTTTAGGCATTTCTTCATAGCCATTAGCTTACCAGTGGTTACCTCTAATGCAGTGGTATTGAAGAAGCAGGTAATTCAGTCCATACTTGTTTATTTAACAAAAACGTTTTTTGCTGAAGAGAAGAACAGCAAATAGAAAATTGTTACAGTAATCTTTATTGGCCAAGCTGATGGCCTGAACCCCACTGTAGTGATCGGCTCTGTCAAGAGATTTTTAAGAGCTGGGATTAACAGTATATTGCTGATTGATTTGATGTGTTGCAAATGAGGGTATTGGGAAGGAGGCAAGGATGGTGCCCTAGGTTTTTGCTTTCTGCAAGTGGATGGTGGGAATACTCACTAAGATAAAGAAAATAGGAGGAAGAACAGGGTTAAGTGACAGAAAATGAAAATTAGTTCAGTTCGGGTACCTGTGGATATCCAGGTGGTGATGCCAAAAGGCAGATGTATATACAGTTCTCAAGCTTAGCAGCATGATTTAAAATTCATAGAAGAGTAAGAAATTGTGTATATTTAGCTCTTTTTGGATTTACTGGTGCCCATGGAAATAAAGAAAACAGGAAAAAATACGAAGCCTCTGTGACACTGAAATGAAAAGGTTTAGGGCCAAAACATCATATAGCCTAGAGGGTATCCTATAGATGGCAACCTTTGGGTTAGGTTTCCAGCCAGGCTCAGTCATGACACCACCTGTCGATCACGATCGATGTGGTAAGAACTGTGTAGAAAAGAGCTGTGTATGCAGATGTTGAGGTTTGGCCGTATGTCCACATAATTGTACTCTTATACATTCTTTCTCTTGGCTTAAATGTTCTATATTAAGGTAGTTGAACTCTTTTGACTTAGCAATGTTTCAGGCATCTCTTAATCTAATATATACGTAAATCAGTATGTCAGCTATAAACTCTGGAACCCATTTTATTTTTATTTATTAATTTAATTTGTCTCCAGATTACTTGAGATGGATCAGGAGCAAATATAAGAAATAAAAATAAACTATGAGGACCATGACATATATTTTTTTAAAGTAGAAAACCAAAGCCAGAAAGGAAACACATGTAGCCTTGTAAGAGTTTACACAATTACTATAGGTCATTCTCACATTTAGCTTTGAATTTTTTGGTGGTGTAAATGAAATTTTATTAACAGAAAAGAAGAAATATATATATTATACCATAAAATCAGAGCTCTTTCTAGCACTACTTTCTAAGAGGTATTTCTCAAATGAGACTCTGCTTATATTTTGTGGATAAAGTTACATAGAAAATCCAGTCACAGGGGCACCTGGGTGGCTCAGTTGGTTAAGCCTCTGCCTTTAGCTCAGGTCATGATCTCAGAGTCCTGGGATCGAGCCCCACATCGGGCTCCCTGCTCATTGGGGAGCCTGCTTCTCCCTCTCCCTGCCACTCCCCCTGCTTGTGCTTGCTCTCTTTCTCTGTGTGTCAAATAAGTAAATAAAATCTTAAAAAAAAAAAAAAAGAAAATCCAGTCACAGATTTCATATGGTCACGGCTTCTAGCACCTTTGTAATAGTTAAAAAACAAAATAATAACATATAAAAATGAATTCATGCTTCTGACAGTCCAGTTGATCCAAGGTTGCTTTTGGCTGCAAGTAATGGAAACTCTGAAATGGGCTTAAACAGTAAGGGAAGTTATTTCATACAAAAGGAAGTAAAAAGATCAGGCTGCCTACAT